AAATTAAAAGCAAGAGGAACAGAGAAAAAACAACGTATAACCTTCTTAGTGAGATTGAGTAACTGAATAGCTGAACAAGGTTTAGCAGAAATATCAGAATTACGAAATTTATTCAGAGCTACAAAGGACAGGGAGTTGTGGAGAGCCATGATCGCCAATGCCCTGATGGGACAGAAGATACGTATTTTTAAGTGAAGACAAAAATGTTCTGATGTTATTTGACCAGCGAGGAATTAAAAAATTACAACACTTCGCGAGGTTACCGCAACGATGTGACAACGGAAAATATTCATTACAACGTTATTGTAATGACATATATCCTCCAACCATAATACAATATGTCTTCAACGTTCCAAAGACGTTCTGTGTTAGCTGCAAAAGAATCAGATACAGAATTATACAGGGTATGCCAAATACATATTTTTACTTAATTGATATACAAAAGTTCTACATATTATCTAAGATCTTTCTATTTCCTTCAGTTATCTGATATCTCTTTTGCTGACGGTGGACCCTTATCATATCATGAACTCCAAAAGAAATTGCAGGCGTGCATGTTCTCTTGATGTTGGTAACCATCTCGGGCAGTGTTTCTCAACCTCTTTAAGCAACATCACACCTAGGAACACAAGGAAAATAATTTTTTTATGCACTACTGACTAAAAAGATAAATGGACGTAAACGCCTATGAATAACACATTGAAACAGGTTTATTTTTATAAACAAATAACATTCAGTCGCAACCACTATATAATTTTAGTAGGTTGTGCAAAAGCATTTTAATTTCATCGATCGAGTTCGGATGAGTAAGGAGCGATAACCGGTTAGCTGATTCTATTATTTTTTCAAATATCTTTTATTTTCTTTCGTATTAAACTACCGTAGATGATTTCCCTTTTTTTGTTCATGTAGAGTACGTGCGTCAGTACAGACACAAAAGAACCCTCGGATCGCATGCGGGCATGTCTCTCAAAACCAGGTTTTCGCCGTTAGCAGCGGAACAGCTTGGCTTGTTCAGATACGAGCCTCTCTACAACTTTTCTACATCTTGGTTTCTATCAGCGTCTCTTGTCAATAAAAGCGACAAGAAAACCAGCTCTCAGACGCAGGCAGTTGGCGTGACACAGTATCTGTCTTGTGAAGTCTGGTCCTTGAACATTTTAGTTCCACAAGTTGCGTGCTGTGATTTCATCCCATCTCTTTCCTGTCTCTGTCTGTTAACACGTACTTCTTGGGAGAGCAATCGGTTAAGTGTCTCCCCCAATCCCAACACACCCTTGTCGTATCATACAACAGTCTTCTTTTACTTATGGCCGTTTTCTTTAGAATAATTAAAACTTTTACCTTTACTAAGATCTTCGGCCTTAGACCTCTCCTTCTATTTGCCCTGTACCTTCAGTTCGTAATTCAGTTTATGGCTCTCCATAACCTCCTATTCTTTGTAGCCGTTAGTAACGCTTGACTTTTTACCATCCCTCTTAACTCCCGTTCCGCTATCCATTCACATAAGCACATCAGATAGAGTTTCGTTACTTCACCTTGTCTGAGTCTGTCTATATTTCTGAGATGAGGTATTATGTACACTATTTACATTATTCGGACTATTGTCCTCATCTTTGTCGCCATATTTATTACAACGTTTCGACCTTTCAGTATCTGTCTATATTTCTGAGATGAGGTATTATGTACACTATTTATATTATTCGGACTATTGTCCTCATCTTTGTCGCCATATTTATCACAACGTTTCGGCCGGTACTGTTCTAGTATCACGTGCCATGTCAAATGGATGTCAGTTATTAGTTATCTCCTGTTAATTCCCCTCTCTAAGTTCTCCACCTCCTTAACCAGGTATAGAGGACACATGCCACAGTAGATAAAGGCGTTAGTTAGATCCCGTGACAGGACCCAAAGAGTGTGAGTTCAATACCTGGTTAAGGCAGTGGAGAACTTGGAGAGGGGAATTAACAGCAAATAACTGATAACAGGCATCCATTAATCGTGGTACGTGTAACTGGGACAGCCTACCCCAGCGAGCGAAATAAAGTGTTCAGTTCGACATTCCAACCACCTGAAGAAGACCGGAGCGTACAACGGCCGAAACGTTGTGATTAATATGGTGACAAAGATGAGGACAATAGTCCCAATAATGTAAATAATGTTCACCTTGTCTGTTTTGCATTTGATATTTCTTGTGAGTGTTAAATTCTCTAAGCCCAACTTCCTCACCATGTGCTCATGACGTTTCATCAGTTTCTTTCTTCTTTTGAGCAGAAGTAGCTGTTTGTTTCCATTTGCCTTCAGACTTCTTCGTTGCTTACGCTCACCCTCCAAGGTATTCTCAGCATCCTCCAGTATAACCAAATTTCTTTTACCTCCAAATTTATCTTCATCTCTGGGTAGGTTCTCCAACATTCACTATGTTATATACCGTACCTATGAATACTAATGGGTATGTCCCAATCCTCATAAATATGTGGACACTATTGTAAGTGGGGGCAATATGCTAAGTAGTCCACCACTAGCAGTGGTTTACTGCTGTACTGTACTGATGCGGCATTCACCCTGGGCGGATTGAGCCGGCTTCTTCCTGTTATGAGAAGAAGATTCTTGGGATAAATTACAGAAGTAGGGTACCCAGGCCTACTCGGATAACGTTCTTGCTTGCCGCGGGGTTCCCACAGACGCAGAGACAGGAACGACCAGAAGCCGCCGGTTGCCGATGCAGACGCTCCTTGGATTTTCACCAGAGCCCTTGTTAGCCGGCGTGTGTGTCAGACCTGTCCGCCTTGGGTTGCCCTACCAGGAAAGAAGTTCCGGACGGCATAGCTCTGACACTACCGTTTATACCCCCCCACCGACTGTGAGGTAAGGGTTGGACTTTGGGGGTTTACAGTACCAGGTGTTCCCAAGCGGTCCCCCATCTAAGTACTGACCTGGCTCTACGATGCTTAACTTCGGTGATCGAACGAGAACCGGTGTTTTCAGCGTGATTTGACCGTAAGCTCAAAAGCAGTGGTTTACCTACTTCACGGCGCTGACGAGTATTGTATTTTGTTTATGTTATGTTTGTGACGTCAGCGAACACTCGCTGCCACTTTTGTGATGTCAACGAATACTCGTTGTCACTTTCGTAATGCTCATTGTAGTAGAGACTTTGTAATCAGCGATACAACTACAGTACCGCCGTTGAACAATACTGGTGTCAGACGCCTTCGAATATCACTCGTACTAATAGTACTTGCTCGATAATACTAGCTAGAATAGTAATCATCGTATAGTGATCCAAATAGAGAAATAGTATAGTGAATAGAGTAGACAATAGCGATCCGTATAGTAAAAGAGGATAGAATAGAAATAACGATCAATTAGACGTTAGCTACTTCCTACATATATACGTTTCCTCTATGGTCATGTGGTCTACTTAATTCAATAATGGTATCGCCTGTATTTGCTCACTGGAGATTTATGTTCAGCAGCGACTCTTTATGCCTATATAACAGTTATAATGATTGCCATTCCATTTCCAACTTCCGTTTGGTTATTCCTCATTCATTAATCTTTTCTAGGTTACAACACTTCTGTCCTCTCTCTCTCTTTTCTCTCTCTCTCTCTCTCTCTTGTTTCCTCGTTCTCTTCTACCTGTCTCCTCTATCTTTTCCCTCTTCTCTCTCTTCTTGTTATATATCGTAACTATGAACACTAATAGGTATGTTCCAATCCTCATAAATACTTTGGAAACTATTGTAAGTGAGAGTAATTTGCTGTCTAAGTAGTCCACCAGTAGCAGTGGTTTACCTATTTCACGGCGCTGGCGAGTATTTTATTTTGTTTAATGTTATAAAGATTACCATTTAATTTCCAACCTCCGTTTTGTTTATTCCTATTTCAGTAACTCTTTCATTGGACCCTATTGTAAGTGGGGGTTATATGCTGTATAAATAGTCCACCAGTAGCAGTGGTTTACCTACTTCACGCTGCTGGCGAGTATTGTATTTTGTTGATGTTATAATGATTACCATTTCATTTTGGTTATTCCTCATTCAGTAACCCTTCCTAGGTTACAGCAATATGTAAAAAAAAATATTAATTTTAAATTTCAGTGTCCCCTCTCCTTCATGTGCATATGTAATCACATCTATGTAAACATCACTTTAGTTCAATGAAGGCCTGAAGTCGCCATTTTATCAGATTTTCATCAAATCATTAAATTAAAAAAAAAATATTTACACTATTTACATGCTGTCTATGTTCCTTATCTTTGTTGTTGTTAACACGTTTTAGTCATTTTGCCCCTTGAATTTCAAGTGTATGTCGGTGGAGGTGAAACTTTTCTAGGTTACAACACACTGTCCATACAAGATGATTGATATTGCATCGCAACTGAGCACTCTTTACTTTGTATCCAATTAAATCTTCCTGTTTCGTAGTAATTTTCAGCTTTTTGTTCGGAGTTCGGTAGCACATTTTCCATCGTTTGTCAAAACATTTCCCAGATATTCACCGTTGTTAAATATGGAACTCTGTCGACTAACGTGGCATAAGTCGGTGGCTGTATGTATAGAATATAAAATCACATGTCTGAAGGGCATCGAATCAGATGCACCGCCATATTTGAATAACCATTCAAACGAATAAACGAAACTCGGACTGTCAATAAAGTACTTGAAAATTCACTTGTGAAAAGGAAGAGATAGTTTTAAAGATCGAGATGAAGATGAGATACGTGGTGGGGGTGAAGAGATAATGGCTGACAGTTGTTCTTGAAGGTAAATGAAAGCGAATAATAATTGCGATCTTTGAGCAAAATAAAAGTTTTATAATTATCACTCGAGTGATTAATTCAATGACTTCACTTATTCCAAACTCTGTGGTCGACATTGAAATTCACATCCAGTTACTGACAGGCAGGGTGATGGGAGTGTGGGATTCTGAAAGTATTTTTGTTCCTTTCTCTTTCTCTTGTTTTATTGCTTTCTTTTTCAGTTTCATTGTTCTTAATGTTTCTTTCTCTAGTTTTAATTGAACTTTATTCTTCTTTTTCTTTTTTCTTTTTCTTCTTCTCTTTCTTCTTTTTTCATTCTTCTTCTCATTATTATTATTTTTTCTTATTTTTCTTCATCTTTTTGTTCTTTTTTCTTTTTATTCCTCTTCTTCTTCTCCTTCTTCTTCTTCTTATTTTTCTGCTTCTTCTTATTTTTGATGAACGAGCTTTGTTTTTACTTGCCCCTCTTCGCTTTGTTAATTCCTCCTTTCTTCCTCTTTTTCTTTTTCTTCTTCTTTTTCTATCTCTTCTTCTTCCATTTCTTTCTAGATTTATTTTTATTTGCTTTTCTTCGCTTTTGTTAATTTCTTCTTTTTTCTTCTTCTTCATTTTTCATCTTGCTTTAGTTTCACTTGCTCCTCTTCAGTTTCTAATTTATTTTTAGTCTTCTTCTTTTTCCTCTTCTTCTTCTTCTTCTTCTTCTTCTTCTTCTTATTATTATTATTATTATTATTATTAATGTTACTTTTTACTTAATCTTCAGCATCACGATCACCCTCTTCTTCTCCATCTGCTGCTGCTGATGATGATGTTTTCTTTAACGTCTTTGATTTTCTTTTTCTTTTCTTTTTTTTTTTTTGTTTACCCAATTCATTATTCCTCTCCTTTTTTTCTCATCTCCATCTTCCATCCATTGTTGCTTTTGCGATAAGCCTTTGTTATATAAACGCCAATAAATGTCAGTATTTCAAAGACGTGTCATTAGCGGGATATTCTACTGTGTTTTAAAAGGAAACGTGTTCTATTAAAGTCAAATACAATGAAGGCACCATCTTAATTTTATTCTGGACGCCACGTTCCCCAAATATTGCATTTTTAAAGTTTGAAATCATTGTTCTTAAAATGTGTCGTTTTCTTGCTCTCGGATTAAGATATCGAAATGGCTACGTTATTTTCTAAACTCACTCTCCACGTATCGGATCAGACACAAAATCTTTGGTGCAAATTAATTTCAAATCTCTCCATTTTGTTTTCTTGTTCAGGAACAGAATGTTCTTCTTTCAGCTTGTTGATTCTAAACAGAAGAACTGCTTCTCAATTTTACGTTCGTCAACCGCTCTTAGATGAAATTATCATACATCCTATTTCAAAGCGAATTATTATACGATCAAATATATTGAAAGAAGACATACGGTATTTGATGTACGCGCCATTTAAATTTCTTTTATTCAGAAATCGTCTTCAGAGAGCAAATATTTGCTAAAGTTCCATCATGCTGAAGTATTACTATCGCTTTGAGCACTCTCCTGTGTAACTTTGTTCAAAAATTTATTATGATAAACATCTTTAGGTAAAAGTATATACATCAATAAGATGTTCTCAGGAATAATTGCTTAACTTATTATATGTAAACAAAAAGAAACGCTGTCCCCTTCCCCTCTAAACAGTAAGTTATTTATTTCTCATTCGATTACTCTAATAAAGGGAACAGATCGCTTTGGTTTTGATATAACAACAGTTAATGCTTATACAATGGAACAATTTCTTCGTATGCTTACAAGACAACTATATGAAAGGGCTTAAATCGAGGTTTCCCAAACTTTTTTAGATCATCTACCTCTTCATGGAATCTTTGATATTTCATATTACGAGGAATTAGTGCAACAGAGTCCAAAAATGTAGAATTATCTAAATACGTAAAAATAATTTGATTAATTAGATATTTGTAAAACTGTACTGAATTATTCAAAGAAATTAAAAGCAGTCAGATTGCGGAATTAATTAGTTAATTAATTCATACTACTACTACTACTACTACTACTAATAATAATAATAATAATTAAAATAATATAGTGTTCGTACTAATAAGCATAGTTGTCATCTGATATTCCACGTTATTACAAATTAGTCGAACAGTGCCGATAGAAATTTCATGGAATTATATAAATAAATCAAAATAATCTGATTATAATTAATTAATATTATAGTAACAACTTTAAAAAAATATTAAGTTTAGTGAATTAATTTTTCTTATTATTAATTTGAACATTATAAAATTATCCAAATGATTATTTTGTGGTCAGTTCTATGTAGGTATGTCCAATGTAGCAAAGTCTTAGAATAATGACAAAAAGAACTTTAGAAAATAAATGTCTTGCTGAAAACGTTGTTTATTATTTTATTATTTCGCCCCAAGCAAGTTAAGTATAGCCGCTAAGATGCAAGCAGTTACTGAGTGTGAAAGAATATGAGAAAAACAAAAACGTTATTACAGAGATGGAACAAGAATCAAGACGACAGAAAACAATTGACATTGCATTTTACGCTTCCATATAGCCATATCGACTGTAAAAAATGATGGGACCTATCTACCAATCAAGTACTGCGCTTAAATTCGTAAAGTCGAGGTACCAAGGAGAAAAGCTCACCAAAACAATTACAGTGAAATATTTATAGAAAAGTTACGGAGAACATACGTTAAGATGGTGGGAAACTGATTGAAGCTGATATGCCAGGTCAGGACCGATACGAATGCGGATTCTTATTTGGAGTTTATCAAGAATCTCTAAATATAGAGCCGAAGCATTTTAAAGAATTTAGAGATATTCTATGACAACTTGCATTGCTCTTTTCGTGGAAAGGGGATTTGGCTATTTATATTTATATCAATGTACACCAAGAAGAAATACTTGGTATCAGGATTAACCAATGATTTTCATTCCTCTGCCGATCGAAGCTCTAGCATTGTGGCAATATTACAATTCGCTTATAATAATTGAACCCTTTCCTAGTGGAAACGATTCTTTTCTTCATGGAGAGTATTTCATTTGCGTATCTTCCATGACGAATTATAATCCATTTTATCAATTTGCCTGCCTTCGTAGAAGCGGCCTCTTTCATTTGGACATAATCATTTAAACTGTCTAGTGATCGTTTTGTGTGATGTACAGATATTTTTTTTTATTTTATTTTAAAGTGTGCCTGACCGTCGACTGTCTTTCATTTGATGCTGACCACTCAAAAAATAATCTCAAAGCACACAAGTAACCGGGAGGCTGAGAGATACTTTCAGCGTGATAAAGCCTATCTCCTCATCAAAAATCTACATCTGTTAAGTAACCCCATCATGTGAACGACACGTACGAAGCAGAACTTTGTTTGATAGTGCGATTATCTTACAAGGCACCTAATCCAATTGACATTGGATTTACAGCCAAAGAGTCAGATTATGTGAGAGTTATTCCTGATTTATTTCATTCAGTTTTGAAAAAACATAGAGTTAAAAGAATCGTCAGCAAGAAATAATGAGAGCGAGTGAGACCAAGGTTGGTGCTACGAATTGGAGCCTTCAGATGCAAGTAGTTATGGAAGTTTAACTATCTGGTTCCTGTCGTAACAGACAAGAGAAATTGTAACATAGAGATTTGAATGGTAATGGCAGTTGTAATATCAGTCATTTCTTTGTATGGAAGCATTAGGCATTCATTGCTACCCTCGGCTGCAATTTACAAAATCATTCTATTACAAAAATAGAAAAATATACGAAACAAAATTAAATAAATCACTAAAATGGATTATATATATATATATATATATATATATATATATATATATATATATATATATATATACTAGCAGCATGGTCCGGCGTTGCTCGTGCTTGATTCAAAAGACTCATACAGCAATCGCTATCACTTGACTTAAAATATTTTTGCCTTTCCTTGCCTTTAAAGGAGTGCCCTTTGCCGTGCTGATGTTGTTACATGCCTTACTTCTTGCCTATCTCACACTGAGAATTTTTTCTAAGCTCTATATTAAACATTAAATCTGTTACGAAAAAAAGAACTAAACAAAATGAACACAAAACGATCAGCTTTAATAAAGGACTCGTAACTGGAAAAACCGAATGAGAAAAGAATGTTAACAACAAATACTTTTTCACATCCAACCCAGTTCTGCGGAATCAGAATCAACGTTGAGTTTAAGCAAGCGAATGAGCCAATTAGAGTAAAGTTCCATGCAGGTTTAAATTTTTCCCACTTGTGACGAATGCAGCTATCGATTTGTCTGCATTCTAGTATGCTAGTTAACATTCGTATCAGTCAGCTGTTGGCTCTAATGCTGGCTAATAGAATATTCCTGCCTATTCGTGGAAGCCAGCTATAGGCTCTTACTCTGGCCAGTAGAAAATGACCGCAAACTACATGAAAACCGCCGTAGAAACATGAAAAAAATCGATTATTTCCGCTATTAATTGGAGTTGGGAAATGCAAAAGTCGGTCTTGGCCTTCCTGTTAACTTGGAGCATGTGCATGCAAATTTTTGTTCAAATCCGTCGAAAATTGCGGCCGTCCATTCGTTACACACACACACACACACACGCACGCACGCACACATCCTGCCTTTTACATATATATATATATATATATATATATATATATATATATATATATATATATATATAGGGTTCTCCCTATATATGTTTTCTTTTCTTACTGGGTGGCTTGTTAGTCTTGATTTATGTATTCTGCCTTTTGCCATTTTCTTGTTTACTTCTTTTTTTCTCTCATTTTAATATTAAATTTCAATTGTACTTCTTCGGGTTGTTTATCATTTTACAAATCTCGTTATCATCGCCAACAATTCTTCTGATGAGGCGTTGTCTAATAAGTTTCCCTTTAAGGGAACAAGATGCGGTTTTGTGTGTTTAAAACAATTTACAATTTCTGTGGTATCAAACTTTTGTTTATATATATATATATATATATATATAGAGAGAGAGAGAGAGAGATTTATATATATATATATATATATATAGATAGATAGATAGATAGATAGATATAAGGAAGAGGTTACAGTGGTTCCAACAAGAGAAAATTGTGTATATTAAAAAGAAGAGAGATACCGCAAACCTTTTTGGTTGTGTGTGGATTTTTTTAAAAAATATATCATGCTTTATTTTCTATAATTTTACTACAAGTGTTTCTGGTCTCGCGACCGTCATCAGGTAAAGGTTGGAGATGTCCATATATTATTAAAAATAATTAATTTTTTCTCGTTCAAGAAAGACATTCGGATTACTAACACAAAAAGAGAACGGATAAAGAGTAGTTACTTCCACATATTATTTAAAGGAATTAATTTTTCCTTATGTTTTCTTGTTTGATTTTATAAGGAAAAAAACACATGCCTGATGATGGATGGAAGACTAGTAAGTACTAGCATTTTAACATCAAATAAACTGAAAAACTACAGACAACAAGTTTTTCTTCAAGGATCAAAACTCGCACTATGGATGAACAGGATTTTAATGCATATATTATGTTTTCTAGCGATGGATGTCGCCAATAATCGCATTGATACTTCTGATTAATTCTATGTGTGATTATTCTTTGTATGTAAATCATATGCTGCCTAATGTTTTATATATATGTATATATATATATATATAACAGTGAACATAGAAGTAAAAATTCAGAGACGACAGTCTGTTTCATGCTAGATGCAATCGTCACGCCT